ATTGCTCTTCAGGGAGCATTTGACAGGCAGTAGGGAGGTGTTGTATCACCTCCCTACTGCCTCCTTTAATGCATTCAACCCCACTTTAGCATGCTGCAACCATAGCTGCTAGCAAAAATCACTGTGTTCTCCTGGCATGGACAGCTCATCTCCCCATGTCCCCACTAGGAGAACACAATAGCTCCACAGGAGGGATTCCCCCATCAACACAGCAGCTATCAAGGGATAAAGTGATTATACAGGTTAGATCTTATTTAATGACTAGAGCTTCTTCACTTGTATATCTTAAACAAGAACACGGTGACCTGAGTGCTTTAGTTCTGAAGACATCTTGAGACTATCCACTGTTTGGGGCAAGTCATCAGTTAAAATTAAGTTACATCTAGAATGTACACTGCTCAAAAAAAATTAAAGGAACTCTTTTTAACCACATAATCATAAAGGGCAGTGCAGCGCTGTTAAATGAATGTGCAAAAATTCCTAATAAACAAAATTAATAATATATCTTAATTCATATAAAGTGCAAATCATGCAAATATTGCCACAACATTAAACCATAGATGCAATAAATATAAAGTGCAAAAGGACATATAAGACCACAAATGAGTGGTTAAAGTGGCAAGTATGTGAGAAAAAGTCCAAACAATAGACTTGAAGATCGTAGCAGATCTCAGCTAAAGGTGCTCTATTCCTCTAGATCAGGAGTGACAAATGATGTGACTGAAAATAAGTGAATTGCGCACTCACAAGATGTGCGCTATAAACACGCATTTGAGATAACTTTTGTCTCATCCGGTCAGCTAGATCAATCATTCCCAGGTATGGTCAGGTTCCTGCTCCTGTTCCTTGATTTGAAGTCCACCTGTGGTAAATTGAATTGATTGGATTCAGTCACAGTACTGAGTACCATTCTGAGTTGCTGCAATGAAATTTCAGCAAAATGGACTAGCCTGCTACATCGTTTTTTCACTTTGATTTTCGGGGTGTTTTTGAATTCAGTCCTCTGTAGGATGATAATTTTCATTTCCATCAAACGATGGGACATCCTTACCTTCCTAACACATTACTCAGTCCATATCAGTATGATATCCAGTGTGATATTTTTCCCCATTAAGATCTGATGTGTTTTCAAAGTGTTCCTTTAATTTCTTTGAGCAGTGTATATGATCAAGATGATAAAAAAGAACGGCAATTGCATATATTCTTTGATATATTTACAAATTTATTTTGAATAAGAAAGGTTTTATAATAACACATCTCTTGCTGCAGACTGTTAAAATAGTAGAGGAGAAACAGAGAAGCAATGACTGGCACAGGATGTGCAGTATATCCAGTCTGAATATCCAATAATATTCTATTTCAGGTGCAGCCTATCGCCTAAAATTGGCTAGGATTGTGCTGCTTAGATTCCTTCAGAACCCAGACACAAGCTAGCATGTTTCATTATGTAGAGATCCCCTTGCAACATACTGTAGGTTCTAAACCAGTGGTACATCTAATGATTGGTGCAAGATCCATCCAAAGTGATCTTTGGTAATATTAGATAGTATATGACACAGATCTAAATGTTTTAGTTAGTTTAGTTGAAGGAAACAATGTATTGCTTGAAAAATTATATTCAGATTTAGTTGGCACGAGGAATATATACAGTATACTGTATGTGGATATGCTAAAGGTTACTTGAGGTAATTTGACAAAAAATCAGGAGGGACCTGGTAAAGATAAATTTTATAAAGGTACACATGTTTTAATAAAGGCCATAAGCATTGAACTATAGTAAAAATGCTAGTCTGATAAAATTATTATTCAGCAAAAGAAGCTCAGGAAGGGCTTGCAGCAAAGAGACTACCATTTCAAAGATACCATTAGCATTATTATTATACAGGATTTATATAGCACCAACTGTTTTCTCAAAATGAAGGTAGAAAAACAGTTACAATACAATTTGATACAAGAGGAAACAGAGGGCCCTGCTTGTTAGCGCTTACAATGTAGGAGGAAGGGTTGAATGATACAAAAGGTAATAGCTGCGGGGGATGAGCTGATAGAGGAAATAAAAGGCAGTTTACTAGTTAGAAGCAGGATAGGCTTCTTTAAAGAGAACAGTTTTCAGGGATCATCTAAAGGTGGATAGATTAGGAGATAGTTGGACAGATTGGGGTAGGGAGTTCCATAGGATGGGAGAAGCTCGGGAGAAGTCCTGGAGGCGAGCATGGGAGAAGGTGACACAGGAACTAGAGAGCAGAAGGTCTTGGGAGGATTGAAGACAGTGGTTTGGTAGATATTTTGAGACCAGATTAGTGATGTAGCTGGGGGCAGAGTTGTGGATGGCTTTGTAAGTTGTTGTTAGTAATTTGAATTTTATTTGTTGGGTGAGTGGAAGCCAGTGGAGGGATTGGCAGAGAGGGGTAGCAGACACTGAGCGGTTGGTAAGGTGGATGAGCCTAGCAGGAGTATTCATGATTGACTGGAGGGGAGATAGCCTCTGTAAAGGTATGCCAATGAGGGAGGGAGTTGCAGTAGTTGAGGCGAGAGATAACCAGGGAGTGAATTAGGAGCTTTGTGGTATCATTGGTTAACCTCCCTGGCGGTATTCCCAAGTGTAGCTCGGGGTAAAGTTTCAGTACCACACAGCGGTAACCCCAAGCTACACTCGGGCTTACCATGCGGCGCTGCTCCACGATCCCTCGATCACTTACCTTGTCCTGCGCTCCCGCGATGTCCCTCCTGCAGTGTCCCTGGCAATGTAATCCGGCGGATGCCGGCATCTTTCATCTGGGTTCCGTCCTCTGCGAGTGTCGGGACATACGGGGGGGGAACGGCGGGAAATTTGAAAATGACAAAAAGTGACATTCACTAAAATCACATAGTATAAACATTACTGTATCAAACCATTTCACATACATTTTGTCCCTAGTGCTTTGTCCTGTGCCCTGCCTACATTTTTACTGTTCTTTCTGCCTGGAAACTGAGAAACGTCCATGGCGTCCAAAAAGCGTCCCTTTAGGTCAAAAGCGGTTTTAGACCAGCTAGAGAACAACGATAGTAACTCAGAACCACTTGCAGAATTGAGTGATAATGATTCGTGGGGAAATTCGTCATCAGACACTGAAAACAATTTTGCGACTTTGCTCAATGATGTGCGAACTTGGCGCTATATTTCAAATTTCAGTGTTTTTGGTTTGATTATATTATTGAATTAAATTTATTATTATATTATTAATTTTTATGATTATTAAATTATAATTTATGATTTCATGTTTCAAATTTTATCCTACCAGGGATGTTTACTAGACTCTTGTTCGGACAGATTTCAGTGAGTTACTCCTAAAAATTACAGGCCTACAATAAAAAAAATACATTTTTCCATGCAAAAAAATGTACTGCTTTGAGCACAGAAATATGGACATAATCAGACCGCTAGTGAGGTCAAAAAGGGGCTGTTGTGGAGGTTGAGATGGCATGGTTTGGACAGGTTTGGATGCGGACCTGAAAGGATAGTTCAGAATCCAGGGTTACCCCTAGCACTCTGGCATGCGGGGATGGTTTGATAGTGGTGCTATTGATCCTGACCGAGAAATCAGGGGAAGAGGCACGTGGGGGAGGAAATAATATGAGCTCAGTTTTGGATAGATTGAGTTTTAGGAAGTGGTGTGACATCCAGTCTGATAGGTCTGTTAGCAAATCGGTGATACTTGAGGAAACTGATGGGGTGAGTTGAGGAGTAGAGAGATTTCTGTGTCATCAGCATAGAATTGGTATTGGAAACCATGGAAAGCTATCAGCTGACCCAAGGAAGAGGTGTAGATCGAGAATAGGAGAGATCCAAGGACAGAACCTTGGGGGACCCCGACAGTAAGAGGAGTAGGAGAGGAGGAAGTAGAGTTGCAAGTGACACTGAAGGTGTGGTATAATATGTAAGATTCGAACCAATGGAGAGTACAGTCACGGAAACCCAAGGGCGTGGTCAACTGTGTAAAGGCAGCGGAGAGGTCCAAGAGTAAGAGTACAGAATAGTGATCGTTAGTTTTAGCAGTTAGCAAGTCGTTTGAGAGTATTAGGAGAGCAGTTTCTGTGGAGTGTTGTGGGTGAAATCCGGACTGAAGGGGATCGAGAAGGTTATTCTCAATAAGGTGGCAGCTCATTCAGTTGTAGACTAGACGCTCAAGGATTTTGGAGGAAAAAGGGAGTAAGGAGATGGGTCTTAGGTTGCTAAGATTGGTGGGGTCCAGCGAGGCCTTTTTAAGTATGTGAATGACTAACGCATGTTTTAGAGAGTTGAGGAAGATGCCAGTAGAAAGGGAGAGATTGAAGATATGAGTTAAAGAGTGAAGGATAGAGCCAGAGGGTGACCGTAGTATTTGTGAGGGAACAGGGTCCAGGGGACAGGAGGTTAAGTGGGCTTTAGAAAAATGTTTACCAGCCTCCTCTATAGTAGTTGGGTTTTAAACAAGGGAAGTATAGATTGTGCAGGTGGACAAGGAGTGTAGGGTGAGGGAGATACCGTATTTTCCGGCGTATAAGGCGACTGGGTTTATAAGACGACCCTCTAATTTTCCAGTTAAAACATAGGTTTTGGGCTATACTCGTCGTATAAGACTACCCCCCCCTCTGAGGCAACACCATTTAACCCCTAGCCTACAGGGCACCTATACCCACTCCCCCCCCCCCCCCCCAGGCCAATTTTCAGCTTTCAGCGCTGTCACACTTTGAATGACAATTGCGCGGTCATGCAACACTGTACCCATATGAAATAGGTGGCAGTGGTAGGTGGCACTGATGGGCATTGACAGGCATCACTGATGGGCACTGAAAGGCAGCACTGATACATGGCACTGATAGGCGGCAATGATAGGCGGCACTGTTGGGTGGCACTGACTGGCACTGTTAGGCAGCACTGACTGGCACTGATAGGCGGCACTGATGCGCACTGATAGGCGGCACTGACTGGCACTGATAGGCGGCAATGATGTGCAATGATAGGCGGGCACTGGCTGGCACTGATAGGTGGCACTGATTGGCAGCACTGCTGGGCATTGACAGGCATCACTGATGAGCACTGAAAGGCAGCACTGATACATGGCACTGATTGGTACTAATAGGTGGCACTGATTGGCAGCACTGATAGGTGGCACTGACTGGCACTGATGGGTGACACTGAAAGGCAGCTCAGATGGGCACTGATATGTGGCATTGATGTGGCACTGATGGACACTGACAGCTGGCACTGCTGGGGCTTCACTGATTATCAGGTCACACTGATCATCAGTGCCCTGATGATCAGTGTACATGTCCACTCCGCGGAAAGCCAATTACTGGCTCTCCTCTCCTCTCGAGCTGTCAGCGTGACAGCTCGAGAGGAGAGAAATGCTGATAATCGGCATTTCCCTGTTTACATGTGATCAGCTGTGATTGGACACAGCTGATCACATGACCGAGCCGACATCTTCGGTTCTTTCTGTGATAGCTCTGTCCGAGGGACACAGCATCGCCGCGCATGCGCAGAGAATGGGAGGATGTCATATGAGCCAATCACAGCAAGTGATGTATTCTATTAATGAATACAGAGCCTGCTCGGATTGGCTGTGTCAGAGAGGCGTGCTGATGATGTCTCAACTTCAGCCAATCCGAGCAGGCTCTGTATTCATTAATAGAATACATTGCTCACCGTGATTGGCTCAGCGCGGTACAATGTATGTAGCTGAAGCTACCATACAGTATTACCACACATCCAGTGTTCTATACCCGGCATATAAGACGACCCCCAATTGTTGGGGTATGTTTTTAAGTTAAAAAAGTCGTCTTATACGCCGGAAAATACGGTATCTGTACAGTGGAGATCTTGTCACGAATTGTATCAATCTTATTTTTGAAGTGATTAGCTATCTCCTGGGCAGTGAGTGAGTTAGTAGGTGGAGGTAAAGAAGAACGAACTAGAGAGTTAAAGGTAGAAAAGAGATAATGGGATTGTCCGAGAGGGTGTTAATGAGAGTGATAAAATAGGTCTGTTTGGCGACAGGAGTTGTATTTTTGAAGGGAAGATTTATATTGGTCGAAGTCTTGCTGAGTCTTAGTCTTACGCCATAAGTGCTCCAGAGCACAGTTACGTTTTTTGAGGCATCTGGTATTGTCTGTTTGCCAGGGCTGTAGCGGTCAGGGCCTAATTCTGTGTTGTAGTGAGGGTGGCCAATATGTTCATGGCGGATGACTGTGAACTGTTGTAGACTGAAGTGGCCAGGTTGGGGCAGGACCAGGCTATGATTAAGTCATAGAGACGATCTTTTGCCAAAAAAAAAAAAGAGAGGGGTTAAGATAGCAAAGGTTTCTACGGGTAACTGTTTGGTCGTTGGAAGACAAGGAGGAGGAAGCCAAGGAGAGAGTGAAGCTAGTAAGGGAGTGATCAGGGAGAGGAAAAGGAAAGTTGGTGAGGTCGCAGGGAGTGAGTAGAAGCATGTGTCCATTGGTTTAGGTTAAAAGAAGTGGCTATGCTTAGGAGTTTAGAAGTAGCAGGAGTGTTAAGATTAACAGGGATGTTGAAGTCACCAAGAATGATAGAGGGAATTTCAGAAGAGAGAAAGTAAAGCAGCCAGGCAGATACATCTAAGGCAGGGGTCTGCAACCTTTAAGACATAAAGAGCCACTTGGACCCGTTTCCGAAGGGAAAAAAAAGACTGGGAGCCGCAAAACCATTGCAACATTTATAACAAATCCGACACTGCATATATTGCAAAAAGCACTCTGGTCATGAAGGGGGTTTAAGGGCCCAGTAAGCAAAGGGTTAATCAGGGCCACAGTGTATCTTCATAATCACAATCATAGCCTTAGGTCAGTGGTGGGCAACCTTTTTTTTCAACTGAGCCAAATCTCGCCAAAACCACGATTGAAATTTATTTTGACAGCCACATTTTTAAAACTGAAAATACATCCCCCATATAGTAATTCATCCCCCATAGTAATTCATCCCCCATATAGTAATTCATCCCCCATAGTAATTCATCCCCCATATAGTAATTCATCCCCCATATAGTAATTCATCCCCATAGTAATTCATCCCCCACATAGTAATTCATCCCCCATAGTAATTCATCCCCCATATAGTAATTCATCCCCCATATAGTAATTCTTCCCCCATAGTAATTCATCCCCCCATATAGTAAATTCATCCCCCATATAGTAATTCTTCCCCCATAGTAATTCATCCCCCATATAGTAATTCATCCCCCATAGTAATTCATCCCCCATATAGTAATTCTTCCCCCATAGTAATTCATCCCCCATATAGTAATTCTTCCCCCCATAGTAATTCATCCCCCACATAGTAATTCATTCCCCATAGTAATTCATCCCCCATAGTAATTCATCCCCCATAGTAATTCATCCCCCCACATAGTAATTCATCCCCCACATAGTAATTCATCCCCCACATAGTAATTCATCCCCCACACAGTAATTCATCCCCCACATAGTAATTCATCCCCCATATTGTCTCAATTCACTTACCTTTGCTCCGCGCGTTCCTCTCGCTGTGTTCCCGCGCCGTTCTGGTCTTCAGGGCGGACTGAGAGAGGAGTTCGTCACTCTGCCCCGCCTACATCCTGGCTGCCCCACCTACATCCTGACAGCCAATGTTCCATGCTCCGCGGGCCGGATTTTTGAGGGAGGGAGGGGAGCGGGCGCCCGGCACACAGAAGAGCCGCATGTGGCTCGCGATCTGCGGCTTGCCGACCACCTGGTGGGCAGTGTGCTCCGGAGCCGCAGCAAAGATGAAAAAGAGCCGCATGCGGCTCTGGAGCCGCGGGTTTCCGACACCCGATCTAAGGGATCACAGAGGAGACATGCAGGGTCTAAAAGCTTGTGTTCCACCGGGGGGGAATGGACGTCACCGGAAGTGACATAGATACTGTCCAATCCTGTCTCAACATGTTTCACCCTTCTAGAAACTGGATGCCAGTGTATAGCACCATAATATGGGAGTGAGCGTTTTATTGGAGGTTGTGGCCATTGTGGTTAATAAAGTTTTTTTAACTGGTTGCACAGTGATGTTGTTTTCTGTGTTCTTTTACCTTCCCATGTTATTGCATTGGAGCCATGAGGTAGATGTGGAGAGTCTGGGATCCTGAGACTGGTCACCAGACACAGTTTTTTGGCATACAAAATAGTGCTTACTAACCCATTACATGGTAAAGGGTCTTAGGCATCTGGCTAGTTTTTTAGTTTTAAAGGGGCATGCGGTATCACCTGCACCAAGAAAATACTGAGCACTGAACAGCATAGTGTGGACTTTCTTAGAGCATGTGTTCATACAAGTCATATATTTTTTGGGGAATCTTATATGAAAGTGTTGCAATTATTGATTTATTATACATCATTGAGTTTGAGCAATTTATGCTATATTCATATAGCGGTGCTCTGCTTTTTGGATTGTTTTAGTTGATCTGTGTCAAGTGTGGGGTGCACTGTTATTTAGAGTGACTGGTGGAGTTTAGTTTATAAATTACTCATTCCACAGTCATTTTTTCTTGTTGTTAATGACTGTCCTTTGCCCTGTCTCTGTGAAGTACTAACATTGACTGAGGGAACAGAAACAGGGCAGATCTAGCTAGGACTTAACGAAGTAGCACTAAACAGGAGAGGAGGGTAGTGGGAGAAACCAAAGTCATATAGTAAACAGGTTTTATTTAATGGTCCCAAATTTCCATTAGATGTTAGCATACTACTGAACAATAGATGCAGTTCAATACAACAAGCAAAAAATAATGTACATGGAACAGAACGTGGTCAAAGTTATAAAAGATTTCACATTAATTTATAAGTTGATAAATGTAAAAACTGATGTATAAATACCTCTTCTAAAAGGTATCCAATGTTATTTTTAAAGTTATACTAGTATATTTATGTTGTATCTTTTTCATCTGGGCTTGGCCGATATTACATCACATTGACCTTCATTTGCACTTATTGGACAGTTTCTAAACCTGCAAAAGGGTAATAATGAGATCCAATCAATTTTCTATAAAGGAGTGAAAATCAGAATAATTCCTCATGTACCACTGTCAGTTCTGGACTAGGATTATTTTGAAACCCACACATGCATATAGTGCTTGACCTAGCATATCCATAGCCCTATCTATTGTTATGTGCAAGTACACAAATTGCTAAGCATAATTTGAGTTTCTTTCTCTTCCAGATTATACCTCTTGGCTGCTGCTTCTAAGCTTAGAGCAGCCAATCAGTTAAGAGGCTGCTTAGACCTTTGACACCTTTTGAACAGAGTTGACAGATGTCTGAGAGATACAGTAGATTCCTCCTCCTGTATTTGCCTTTTATATTGATACCACGCCTGATAGGCTATGAAGTATGGAGTTTGTTGATCTGGTAGTTTTAGCTCCCCTCCCCCTAGGCTAAGTGTGCTGAGATAAAGATTTTATTGCTCAAAAGTGGAGTTATCAGACAGATACCCTTGCTACTGCTATTATTATTGTTTGTGGGAAACTGTTAAATAATCAATTGTATAAATCCAACATCATCCTATTATCTTATGTCAGAGAAAGATTTTGTTAGGGATTCTTCCAAATTCATGTTAACACTTTTCCCTTTCATGGAGTGTCTTTGTGTTTGTTATAACCTTATGGGGTTGATTTACTAACAATGAATAGTGCAAAATCTGGTGCAGCTATACATGGTAGAAAATCAGCTTCTAACTTCAGCTTGTTCAATTAAGCTTTGACAAAAAAAAAATGGAAGCTGGTCACTATACAGAGCTGCACCAGATGTTGCACTCTCCAGGTTTAGTAAATCAACTCCTATGATAACAACAGGTGCCAGAGAAAATGGTGGGGAAGATCTTTTTGGGAGCTAGTAATGTAGGTAAGTCGGTCTCTAGGTCTTTATTACAGGCTTTATTTCCAATAACCAAGAGTTGCTGGCATTATACAGGGTCTTTCATATTTTACAAAATCAAAAGTGAGTGCCGTTATAATTAGCTGTTGAGGTCTTCACTGAGGAAAGTGGTGTCTCAGTGAAGAAATATTAAGATCACTGGGATTTTTTGTTCTTTAGAGGTAGACCTTTTCGCAGACAGAAAAACCATCTAGCGCTGCATGTTTCATTTATTTGTATTTCCTAATGACCTGCAGTTTTCGTGTCCTTTTCAATGGGAATGATTCCAAAGGTACAAACAAAAACAGTTCTTGAGTGATAGTGATTGTGGCAAAGTCATTGAAGAGGACACTGTACATCTTATTCTTTTGAATGTTGCAGAATACTTCTTAGAGTCTTCACTTAAAAAGGAGCATTTTTTCTTAATAGCTGATAATTTACCCTTAGGTCCTGCTTCTAGAGATGACATCCTGAAATTGTAATTGCAAATCTTAGTTTGAAACAGTTTGTCTGCCAGGTTATTTGTAAAATTTGTAAGAATTTGTTGTTTGCTTTGAA